CACAGAGATCTGCCTGCCTCTGCCACCAGAGTGCTGTGATTAAAGGCATGCACCACTACCACCTGGCTTTTGTATCATTCTTTTAATGACCATTTCATTAATTTCTGTCTATCTTTATCATTCTTTCCACCTACTAATTTGGAATTTAGCTTGTTTTTATTTTTCTAAGACCTGAAAACTCAGCATTATTTGTGTTCTTTATAATTTTTAAGAATTTGTTAATTATTATATTATTATTATTATTATTATTATTATTATTATTATTATTATTATTTATTATTGCTCTCAAGAACTTTATTAGGTGAAGTTTGGGTGAGAGAAAACCATGAAGCAGTTGCCCACCTGGTTTGGGACAACTGGCATAGAGGAGCCTTTGTTTGGAGACAGGCTTTCACTGAGATGGAAGCAGATCTTTGATTTCTTTCTAAGGGAGCTGACGGGCTGAACATCTCTGAGACCCAGTTCAGATTCTTCTTTAAATGGTTGGTCAAAGGCAAGCCCCTAGTATTTTTATTATTTTTAGTTATGTGTGTGTGGTCTGCATACATGAGTACAGGCTTTCCAGGAAGCCAGAAGAGTCGGATTCCCCTAGAGCTGGAGTTACAGGTGGTTGCAAGCCACCTGACATAGGTGATAGGAACTGAACTCGGATCCTCTGCAAGAGCAGTATGTGCTCTTAACTGCTAAGACAGGTCTAGACTCTCCTTTCAGAGTTTCTTTTAAATTCACACTCTCAGAGCTATAAATTTCCACCTTGGAACTGCCTTTACTGCATCAAAAAAATTCTGTCAAATTGTTTTGGCTTCATTGGATTCTAGGAGGTGCTTAACTTTCTCTATGATTCCTTCAATGAGTCACACCAAGAATACATTGTTCATGCTTAATGTCCCTACATAGTTCCTGTAGTTCTGATTTTCATTATATTCCATTATGATCTGAAAAGATGCCAGACTTTCATTTTTTATTTGTTAACTGGTTTTATAGCATGAAATGTGATCTATGTGAAAGGAAACTTCATGGAATACTGAGAGGAATGTGTTGCAAGGAGTATTCCAGAGATGTTTGTGAAGGCTGCTTAGTCTATAGAGCAGAGCAACTCTGAAGTTCCTTTGTTGATCTTTTGTTTGGAGGATCAAATGGTGAGAGTGGGGAATTGAAGCCATCCACTAATATTGCATATGGACTTGTTATTTTATATTGAGTAATGTTTACTTTATGAAATTAAGTACACCCATGTTTATATTTTCTTGATGGACTATCCTCTTTGTTAATATGTGGTAAATTCCTTTATATGTCTAACTTTAACTTGAAATATGTGAAATATAATATACCACTCCTGCTTGGATTTGGCTTCTACTCAATTGGTATATAGTTTTCTATTTGTTTTTGTCTCCAGCAGCCAGGTATGTTTCTTGCAGACAGCCAACAATTGGATCTTGGTTTTAGTCCACTCAACTAGTCTGTGTCCTTTAATTGAAGAGTTAAGACCATTTATATTAAGGTTATTATTAACAGGGATTTTCTTATTCCTATAATTTTATTGACAGTTTTTCTAATTGGTTCAAATATTGCTTCTTCTCTTTCTCCACTATTCACTTTAGGGATTTACCAGTTTGCTCAATTGTACACGGTTGATTCTTTCCTTGTTCTCATTTGCTCATCTCTTCCTCTCATGAAGCTTACTCCTTCCTGAGCACTTGTGTTTACAATTCTTTCTTCTTCCTCTGGTGTCTTCTTCCTTCAAGTGTCTTCTGCAATGTTGGCTCAGTGATCACAAATTGCTTCACTTTATGCTTAGCTTGGGAGATCTTTATTTCTCCATCAATTTTTAACGATCACTTTTATTCATGTAGTGATCTTCGTTGACAGTTGTTTACTTTCAGGGCTTGAAGTATAACATTCCATACTTTCCTGGCTTTTAACATTTCTGCTAAGAGGTTAGATATTCTGATGAACTTGCCTTTTTAATCTTCTCTAGCAGCTTCTGATATTGTTTCTTTGCTCTTTAGTACCAGCATCTTACCAACAGTGTGTCAGGGAGGGCTTTCCTTTCTAGTCGTGCTTATTTGGGGTCCTAAATGCCTCTTTTGCTTGGATGCCCATCTGTTTCCCTAGACTTTAGTGTAAACTTTCATGGAATAAATATTCTATGCTTTCAATTTATGACTCCTTCTTCAATCCCTGTGGAGTTGTATATTTGAACATGCCCCAGAGTTCTTGAGTGTGGGGTTATGCATGCTATTCTTTCCTTAATGATAGTTGATTATAATATGTCCTTGACTGTGTCTTCAATCCATGACAACCTTTTCTTTAAATTTGATATCATATATTGATGATTCTCAGTTTGTTTTAAATTTGATTTATTGATTTTTAAAAATTTTTCAACATGTTTCAAGTGTTTTTAATCAGTATTGTTGACTTTCTTATCCAAGGCTGAACTGACAAGTTTACTTCATTCTCTTTTTGTTTGTATCTTCTTTGAAAGCATTGGTTGTTTTATAATTAGACTTTTATAAAGCTTTTAAGTTTTTAAAAAAATTCTATTTATCTGTATGTGTCTGTGTGTGGGTATGTGCAAATGAGGGGCATCAGATCCTCTGGAGCTGGAGTTACATATATATAGGCAGGTCTGAGCCATCTGTTGTGGGTCCTGGGAACTGAACTCAGGTCCTCTGCAAGAAAAGAATCACTCTTAAGCACTGAGACATCTTTCCAGTCTCTTATAACTAAACTTTACATCCTTTTCACATTTTTAAATCATCTGAGTATCTTTAGACACAGTTTTTAAGGAACTATGATCTTTTGGCAGAATTTATTGCATTGACTTACATGCTTGTTATGTTTCTGTGTTATGATTTGTGCATCAATTGGAATGGATCTCTTCCAGTTTGGGGTTTGGAGTTTGGGGTATTTTTGCTTTCCTTTGAAGGTCTTTTTTTAAATAAGCAATCTTCCATTGAGGACTCAATCTGCATGACCATTTAGACACTTAAAGAGGAGAAAACAATAAAAAGCAACAACGTCAACTCAACTGAAGTATAGAAATATGATTGTAATTGATTGATGCCAACTGCTATGTCACCAATAACCTTAGGAAATAAAAAGGAAAAATAATTTAGAGTAAAAGATGAAGTTAAAAATTAATCCAAGTGGTGGTCCATGCCATGCCTTTAATTCCAGCACCTCAGCTCAAGGTCACGTTTATTGTAGGCCATTGTCTTAGTTAGGGTTTCTATTGATGGGAAGAGATACCATGACAACATGGTGGCCACTCAGAAACACAAGGGGCAATGTGTATGATCTAGCAATTCCACTCCAGGGCTTATCCTCAAAGGAATGCAAAACAGTGTCTCGAAGAGCTCTCTGTACATTCATGTTCACGGTAGCATTAATAGGAGCATCCAGGAAGTCGGGGAAAAAATAAAAAAAACATAGCTTCCAGTGGTGGACAAGAGGATAACAGAATGTGGTTCATACATGCCAGGGACTTTATATTAACAAGGGGAGAATTATGAAATGGACCACAGCAGGGATAGACCTTGAGGTGTCTTTGGGGGCTGCTCTTTCTAGTGACCCACTTAGTTATCACCATCTCTGTGTGAGAGATGTTTCATGCTAGCTGGAAAAGGGCCAGTCACAAAAAAGGCAAATGCAGTGTGCATCCACCTGCTTGCAAAAGGTATCTGGAGTGGTCAAGTACACAGAGACAAAAATGCAGTGTTGGTTTCCAGGGAGCAGAATGTGGGGACTTGGTTAATGTTTAGAGGAAAAGCTTTATAGGTAGTGGGCTCTGCACGGTGCTTGCACAGCAATGAAAAATACTAAACACTGTCCAGCCGCATCCTCAAGAATCTTCATGCATTTTCCATCATGTATATTACGATACAATTACAAATTTTTAATGTAAAAGCAGATATAGGAATCTGAATTTTTATGTGAAATCTCTAAGTTTGCAAGTGGTGACAGGAGTACCTAATGGTTCCAGGGGTGAGATTTCCCCTTTTGTAGGAAAAGCAGAGGCTGATGTGAATCTGGGTGACGATTCCCCGCTATATGACTCAGGTCTGTTCTGACGGGCTCAGTTCTAACCTAGATCAATAAGGGTTTTTTTGTTTGCTTGTTTTTGAGACCAGATCTCATTATATAGTCTTGGCTGGCCTCAAACACCCAGAGATCTACCTATCTCTGCCTTTTGAGTGTTGAGATTAAAGGCTTCTGCTACTACCATGCCCCACAGACCAATAAGCTTTGAGGAAGTCTGCTGGAGGATTTTAAGAAACTTTTTTTTGGTGCTTGGATCCTTTCTATCTGGGCGAGAAGAGTGGTGCTGGTATAGCTACTCTCTGAAGCCATGGGAAAGACTAGAAGGATAGTGTGAGGTCTCCTTCATAACTAATTCTGGGGTCTTATCTGTGTTTATAGTTTAAAAGGTCACAGTGAAATGCATAAACAGGCTCAATCAAAAATGTTTGGGACCCAACTGATCCAGAGGCAGGTGGCTTACCATCCTTGGCGCACCCCTAGTCACTTGTACTGCATATTACTTGTTAAGGACAATCTCTCTGCATCACCCACAACAGCTAAGCACCCTTCATCTTCTCCCCCCCCCCCCCCCCCCCCCCTCCACTCTCCTCCAGAGGGAAGGTCTAAGCAACAGAGTCCTCGCTGAGAGCATCAGGCCACTGTGCTTTCCTTACAGGTTGCCCTAGCAACTAATGAACAAGCTCTTCTGGGTCTGCAGCTCTGGCTGCCTGTTTCTAAAGATGCTATCAGCAACTCTCCTGCTGAACTGACCCTTTTCTGCTGTAATACTTTCTGATGGGGACAGAATCACACCAGTGATTAACATTAGCCCTTTCTCTTTGATTACTTGTGCTACTTAAACAGTTGTATGTAAAGTGGATTCCTTGTAGACAGCACATAGGTAAGTCTTGCCTTTTTTTTTTTTTTTTTTTTTTTAATGCAATAGAGTAATCCTTGCCTTTATTTCTTGTTCACAGCATTCCTTCTTGCTAGGGTTTCAGCAGATACCCAGAAGTCCAAGCCTTGGAAACTCAAACCCTAAATTCATGCTGCTATTTGAAATGAGGGATGAGGTAATGAGGGTAGAGCCCTGTCCTTGTTTACTTTCTATCCCTGTGATAAAGACCAAAAGCAGCCTGGTGAGGAAAGTTTATTTGGCTTACATATCCTGGGTCACGTGGTGTGTTGAAGGAAGTTAAGGCAGGACAACTCCAGGCAGGAACTGAAGCAGACACCATGGAGGAGTGATGCTTACCAGTTTGTTCCTCATGGCTTGCTCAGATTGCTTCCTTATACAATCCAGGACCACCTGTCCCAGGTGACACAGCCCACAGTGAATGGGGCCCTCCTACATCAATCATTAACCAATAAAATGCCCCTAAAGACTTGCCCACAGAACAGTCATATGGAGACCTTTTCTCCACTCAGGCTCCCTCTTTCCAAATGACTCCAGCTTGTGTCAGGTTGACAAAAATTAACCAGCCCAAGCTCCCATAACAGCATCAGTGGCTTTATAAGAGGAAACAGTATGCTTCAGCTCACACCCCAGCTCATCCATAGCTTGGACTAGGCCCCTTTATAGTTCCCAAAAGACTACAGACCTCATAGGTTTCATGTTCACCTTTGTGTTGCAGTTGAGTCACCTATGTTAGCTTGAAGTGGCGGTGCTTTTAATCCCAGCTCTTGGGGGGTAGAGACAGGTGGGTATCTGCTAGTTCCAGGCCAGCCTGGTCTCCAGTGAATTCAGGCCTACATCACAAGTTCCAATTTTTACTCTCTATTCTCTGTTTTGATTTGTGGATCTCCTCGGAGTGGGGGACATGCAATAAAACAAAGAAAACTAGATAAACACAAATGAAAGTCATAGCGAGTAATACAAATGGTCCACATGCTGGCATTCATGGGGAAGAGAACTTGATGGAAAACAATGAGGTTCTGCCCCAGTGGCCTAATAGTTAAAGCACTAGCTTCCTAAGCCAGGGATTGTGGGTTTAAGTTTCACCGAGGGTAATAAGAGGCCCCTACCTTTGATTCCCAGGTAATGTTTTGGGGGCTGAGAAGATTGCTTACTGGTTAGGAACACTGGCTGCTCTTCCAGATGGCCTGAGTTTGATTCTCAGCACCCACATGATAGCTCACAATCACCTGTAACTGTAGTTCCAGGGGATCTGATGCCCTCTTCCGGGCACGAGGCACACATGCAGTGCACAGATATACGGGAAGCAAAACACCAATACACGTGAAGTAAAATAATAAAAAAAAGTTTTTAAATAGTTCAAAGTTATTAAGATAAAAGGCTTCCCATTACATTTGTCTATGAATCATCACAAGCCATAAGAAAATAAATAAAAATCTGTATCTTTAGGGACATTAAAAAGAAAAAGGAATGAGGGCTGGTGAGTTGGCTCAGCAGGTAAAGGTACTTGCCTTTAAGCCTAAAGACCTGAGTTTGATTCTTGGAGCTCCCTCTTAGTGGAAGGAGAGAACCAACTTCCACAAGTTGTCCTCTGAACTCCACACAAATGCCGTGGCATGTGTGTGCTCCCTGGCCCCAAAATAAATAACAAAACCATCGAAAGAAAATGAGGCAAGATTTTCCAGGGAGTTGCTCAGGGCAACTACCATCTGTCGTCTATCAGCTACATTTCAAGTATTGCTTCTACAGTTCATTTTGAACCTCTGACAACTTGGTAGGTGAGTGGCTCTTAAACTTGGGTGTGTTTGAGAACCACCCCATTCTGTGAATGTAAACGTGTAGGTAGGTCCCTGTCATCCCCCCACTTCCGTGCAGGGATGGGGTGGTGGTGGAGTAGGTTGAGACTGGCTCGGGAGTCTTAGCATTTAGGAAGCTCCCCGGAAACAAAACTCTTACATATAATTTTAGCACTCAGAGATTAAGGTGGAAGGATTACAAATTCCATAGAAAGTGAGGATTTGTTTTAGCAAATCAAGGGCTGGAAAACGTAATCCTTAGTGAAGTGCACTCACCTAAATCCCCCGGGCTTCCATCCCAGCACTGAAACAGAACAGGAATGGAACAAACTTCAACTAGCTCCTGGGTGACTGGCTGACTACAGAGCATTATGGGTTCACACCAGACACCCTGAAGGCAGTACAAATTAATGGTGAAAAATCCCAGGAGTTAAGGACTATTGCAGAGTGTGGAAAGATTTGAGGAAGGGCTGTAAAGGACCTAACACTTTAACCCTATTTGCATGTGACTGAGTCTAGGCTCCCGGCAAGGACCACAATCACTAGCAGAGATAATTAACGCCATCCTTACTCCTCACTGGGTCTGTTTCCAGTGTGAAACGCACTACAGGAGAGAAACCTTGAGTTCAGCAAACCCGAGGGAGTGGTCGGCCAGACCTTGGTCTGGGGTGAAATTGTTTCTACCCCTCACAGCTACTCAAGGATGTTTAGAAACGCCCTTGAAAAGACTGTCAGAAAAAGGCTGTCGGTCTCTGTTCTCAAAACATTTGGCGGGGACACTATGCACCGGAGTCATCTTTCAACAGAGGCCGGGAATGGGAGCTCATCCGGCAAAAAGATAGTCCATAGCGGAAGGCTACAAAAGAATCACACTGAAGCAGGGACGAGCAGTTAGAAACCATGCAGCTGCCATTCTTGGCAAGAATCCAGGAAAGAAAAAAAAAAAAAAAGGCCCTTTGTAACCCAGACTATCCTCGAGCTCCTTATCCTCCTGCTCCAGCCTCCCACACGCTGAGATTATATAAGCATGTTCACCACGACTTTCTCATCCTGGTTTTAGTTGAGGTCGGCCTGATGCCACGAGCCTGCTTCCGTATTTATTCCTCTCACGCGCTCTTTTCGCGGAGACCACCATTTTACGTACGGAACTCATTGATCCAACTACAAGCCTGGGATCGCAATTCCTCAGGTCTTAACGCTACCTCGAGTAAGCCCGACCAAAGTCAGTGAGCGAACTAAGTGAGGGTTTTGAGAAACCATCCCCAGTGCTGCCAGCCCCAGCCACTACTTCGGGTTCGGGGACCCCAGGAGGTAAACCACGAACGTCCACGCCCATCTATTTTGGGAAGTCTGAGACTCCGGGAACTATCAAAGGATGGCGGCCCGCGGCTTCACTTCCCATTCCACAACGGAAGCCCCGCAGTGTGGTTAGGCAGGCACAAGATCCTTCCGCGCTGCACAGACGTGGATTGCCCGGGAGCGAGCCCAGACCGCGGGCCACACCTCTTCCGGGAGACCCCGCACAGACAGGAAGTGGGTAGCTCCCTCAAAACCCATTCGCCATAGCTTAGAACCAGCTGTGCTCTCCGCTTTGTGGAGCAGGGACAACGCCCGCTGGCTAAGCATGAA